TTTTCCAACCGAGCGATTCTGTGTGATTCTTTGTGTGATAATTGAAAAGCAAAAACATCCAATGCAAAAGAAAAAGGTGGTCATAAATTGATACACTTCTTAATATTGGCTGCAGTATTAAGGACCTGTTTTTCCCTTCGCAGCATTACTTAACGTGTTTCAGTGGAACGATAGCAGTGCCCTTTCTGCTCGCTGATGCCATGTGTGTTGGATTTGACCAGTGGGCCACCAGCCAGTTGATCGGGACCATTTTCTTCTGCGTGGGCATCACTACGTTGTTACAGACAACCTTTGGGTGCAGGTGAGATTTGGGACTTGCCTCTCGTTGTTAGATGGTTATAAGATGAGACTCCTGTTGGGATTTCCAGGACGCAGTCCAAGATCTAAGAGGTATTAAGTCTGTTTTCAAAGGATAAATGTAAAATAAAAGAGAGCAGGTTAATTACAGGACACTTAGGGAAACTTTTGGAAAGCTGCTCCCAAAAAGAGGTGGATCTGAAATGAGAGGAGGCATTTCAAGGGTAAGAAAATACAGCAGGGAGAGGGAGAGGAGGAGGAGAGAAATCCATGAGAACAGAGAATATAGACATGTTTCTGGGTGAAAAATTCATACACCTTTGTAAAGAGGAACTGATTTTGATCTTTTCAGTAGTTTATTGAATTAAGAGTCTATTCCTGCCAATATTTACATTGCTGTGATCAGTCACAGAATCACAGAATATGAGGAGTTGGAAGGGACCTGGAAAGCTCCCCCAGTGCACCCTCCAGAGCAGGATCACCAGAGCAGTCACACAGGAACACGGCCAGGGCTTTGGGTGTCTCCACACAAGGAGACTCCACAACCTCTCCACAGCCTGGGCCATGCTCTGTGCCCTCACACTGACAAAGTTTGTCCTCATGTTCACATCAACCTCCTGTGCTCCAGCTGCACCCATTGCCCTTGTCCTTTCATGGACATCCCAGAGCAGAGCCTGGCTCCTTCCTCCTGACACTGCCCTTTCCAAATGGATCCCAGGAATGAGGGCTCCCTCAGTCTCCTCTAAAGCCCTACAGCAAAGTGTGTGCTTGTTCCCATCAAACACTTGTCAAATGAAAAAGGTAGGGGAAAAATGATGAGGTTAACTTGTTATTCTGTGAACTGAGTGTCTCTGTAACCTTCTGATACAAATAAATTGATGTTATTAGTTCCCCGAATTGAGAAGAAACACCTGTGTATGTGTACAGGGCCACCTTTGGTTGCTCTGTGTACAAGAGACCAGTTCAGGTGTCAGCAAACACTTGTAAAAACCTGGTGTTGCTTAGAACAGGATGTTGTAAGGCTTATTAACATGAAAATAAATGGTTTTAAAAATACGTGGTCTGCGGCAACGGCTGCAGAGAGATGGTTGAGGTGTTTACTTAAACTTCTCTTGACTCTGCCTGTGACAGCTGAAACCTGCAGGGTTATTTCTGCATCTTGAATAAACCAAGAGAGAGTAAAACCAGAAGGAAAATGCCAAGTTTTTAAGAAGATGATATGGTTACTTGAATGATTCATGGGTCATTGAGTGCAATTTAAGAGCAATGCGAGCTGAAATTTTGTGTTCCCATAGAAAATGGGCAAGCACCCCACATTTTTCATTATTTACCTAAGAAACAGAATCTTTGGGTGGAAAAGTCATCTCAGTGGGGTGCTGGGGCAAGCCTGTGGTGGATCACTTGCAGTTGTAGATCAGCTTTTCATCTCAAAACTTTCCAAATATTTCAGGTTTTCCAATGTAATCTTCACTTGCTGTTTTTAGTTCACTTTCTTGCCTTTTTTTCCCCCTTTAAAAAAACTCTTCCCTTTATTTTTTTATTGTGCCTTACTGGATTTATGAAATCACTTCAGTGTTTTGTATGAAAAGTTCATTCTGATGAATGAAGGCAAATTACTGAAAGAGAAAATTGTCTTTCCCCCAATGTATTTGCTTTTAGTCAAGGCTGCCTGCAGTTCACAGTCATATTTTCTGCCTGATTGGCTCTTTGTGCCTTAGCTCTAATAATAAATTTATAATTTATATAATTTAAATAGGGATACAGGGATTGTTGACCTGGGCAGGAGCTGGAGGAATAATATAATAGAAGGTATTTTATTATTCAACCTTGAGTGTCTCCTCCCTGCATTTATTTAAGCTTAAAATCTTCCAATTTTGTAAGAGGTGTGGAGTTGTGGATGGAGATGAACCCAAAGGGGAGCTCGGTTTTCCTCTGCTTCTTCCAGCTTTCCTCTTCTGCCTCAAACTTATCAGAAAAAGCTTAGGTTTTGTACTTCCTGAGACTTTAATCTCTTCACAGGACTAAAGTTTGTAATATTTGGGTTTTTTCCCTGACTAATCTTGGGCTTTTCCTCTTTATTACTTATTATAAAGTAATTCTGGGCTCCTGCAGAACCCAGTGTGGTCCCATCAGTTTGCAATGCTCTTTTCCTTCTGTATGATCCCACCTCTGCCCTCCAGGGTGGTTTTATTTTAATCCTTTTCAGTGGTTTCCACTTGCAGATGTTTATTTATTGAAGAGGGAATTGTGTTGAAGTCTCACAACAAGTGAGCTTGTACTTGAGGAGAACGTTTCCGCGGTTGAACGTTTCCTAACTATTTACCATGTGGTTCTGGTTTTATGTAAGGGTGGGAATGGGCTATGGTAGCAATGTTCTCTAAATGAGATCTTCAAGTATTTATTGGCAAGTCTTGTCAACTGCAAAAGTGTTTCAGCAAATAAAGCCGCTACGGTTTCGAAAGGTCAAATTCCAGGGTTTAAAGGTCCTTAAAGATGGATTTAGCTCAATTACGAGGAAGAGCCGTGGGCAATTTGGTACCCATTCTGATTTGAGGAATTCAGGCTATTTATTAGATGATGGAATAAGCCAAAAGATTTGACAGGGATTCAGAGTAATCAGCGTGACGGCGACAATTAAATACAGCTTTAACATACCTCAGTGTTGCAGGTTTGCTGTGCCCATCGCTCCCGTGTCCAAGCACTCTTACACGCGTGAAATGTTCATGGTGACAGCTTTCCCAGATGACTTCAACTACACAAAAAGCTCTGTCTTCACAGCAGCCGGTGCCAAACTTGAGCAACTTCTCAATTCAGACATGGGATTAAAATGATATCCCAGTTGTAAGCTGGTAGCTAGAAATGAATGCCTGGCTTGGCAACATGAAGGTGTTTCACAAGCCATGTTGTGAACATCTTTTTCTTTGTAAAACGATTGATCCTGCTGGGCTGATTTTCAATAATAAGTTTAATTTTTAAAAAATCCTCTTTTTTTTGTTCCAGCATAGGAAAAAAAGCAATATTTGGACCCTCCTGCCCCTTTTTGTCAATACACTGTGAGTGTCTCATATGAAGGTTGAGCAGATAGCCAAGCCAGACATGCTAAGACCTTATTATACATTATTTATTCAGGTATTTTTCTGTGATACCAAACCCAGTCTGGACCGAAGTCTCGGTACAAATGACTTCATCCCCGGAGAATGTGTTTGCAATGCATATTTACCAAATCATTACTGGGGGTACAGAGGGCTGTGTAGGTGGGATGGAAGAGTAACAGCTTGTTACAGGTATTGCATATTTTGCCACGGGCGCCAGCTTTGCTTCGTTTGCTTAACGAACCTGGAAAAATAAGGTGAATCATTCACTCGTAGCTACCAATGGTAAAGCTTTGATTTTTGGCTTGGAGAAACTCCAGAGGGAGTTGTGTGCTCAGATGGCTCATACATTTTACGAATTTGAATTTCAAATGCAGTTTTCTACATTTGGGGTCAGCTTTTTTGGTCGCTCATGGCCCAGTCTCCTTCCCAGTGGTTCTGACTTCCTGTGAACTTTACAACCACTGCTGGTAATACGCTTCTGGTTTGATTTGTTTATTCTTTTTCCTGTCTTTGTGCCTGTTTTGATCTTTATCAGAATCTGCTGCAGTTCTTTTTCCTTTATGGTGTTTGCTCTGGCACCGCAGCATTTCATTGCAGCCGTAAAACAGCCGTAGACGCAGCGCAGGAGCTGGAGCCGCATGAGCAAGTGTTGCACGTGTTACATCTTGAGGTCTGCAATTAAAGAGAACCTTATTACAACCCAGTAATGCCAGTATTTATAGAATAGTTCAAAGTGCATCCTCTCTGGGGTGAAGTAACATCTGCATATTTGTTGTGTTGCGCAAGCTACGGCGGGTTCAATAACTACGTAGTTGGGGCTGGTAGATGCTCTTTAGATCTTAAACCTTTTGGGAAGTGTAAACACCAATGCGAAGAATGCGATCTTGACGTTCTTGTGGTGTTTGTGTTTATTACTGGTAGCCACCTGGAACATTTAATCAGCCCTTATCGACCTCGTAGTTGTTGACACACACACTTAAAGATGAATGTATAAGTGACTGTGCTTCCAGGCATGCAGAGGGAAGGTATTGAGGATGCAGGCTGCCTTCTGCACTATCGAAGAGCTTTTTTTCACGTGGCGGGACGGTCAAAGCCGCACGTTCAGCAGTCTGCTGCTTGCATCGGGACGTGCATCTGTATCCCTGGTGTGCTGCTGAGTCAGGTCCTTAAGCCAGCGTCTGGGACCTGTGTGTTGGTATCCAGTCGTTGGCTGTTAAATTAACTTCATGCTTGTAATGTCTTTGGGTTGGAAGTCTTAATATTTCTACAGCTGTTCTTTTTATTAAAAGAATTCTCCTATTTCACATTTATAATAAAGGATGGTTTTGAGGGTGAGTGACCACGTAACTGCAGTTGATTCCCTGCCATGATACTATAACCGAGAAATGTCAGCGTCTTCTTCCCTTTCCACCAGGTTACCCTTGTTCCAAGCGAGTGCTTTCGCGTTCTTGGCGCCTGCCAGAGCGATACTCTCCCTGGAGAAGTGGAAATGTAATAATACAGGTAAATGACATTTCTGCTTGTTCAGATTTAAGGGACAAGTGACCCAGATCACGTACGGTGCAGCCGCCAAGCCTTTGGGTACGGAAACTGGAAGTAATGAGCAGGGAACGTGAAAACTTCTCTCCTTTTACAGTGTTCAGACTTTGTGCCTTGGAAAACCATCCCTAAAAATGCCCTCGTGGGATTCTGTGTCTGGGGTGTTTGTTAATGTAAAAGATGTTGACCAAAGAAATCTAGCATGAGCATAAACCAGTTCTGTGGTTATAAATGGAGAGAGAGGCAGAAGGATTCTGTAAATGTTCCTTCCTGGTATTGGGAAATAGTGAGTCCAGTCCAGTGCTTTTAAGTTGAGTAGCAGCAAGTTTGAGCAGTGCTCAGCATCACCTCAAGAGCAGCATTTTTACCTCTTTAACCTGACAGGTTTTGCAGAGCAAGCTTTGATAATACTGGGATATTTTGTAGTATTTGGGCAGTGCAAGGCAGCAGTGCAGAGAAGCGGGCTGCTTCCTCCTAAATTCTTCCCTGGGGTCTTTTTTGCTTCTCTAGTAATTTCCACTTATATTATTTATGTGTTTATACATCTCTTTTGATTCACTTACCACCATCTAATTAGTTTCCCCAATGTTTTTCTGTATAAAACTTAGCTTGGAGCATTCACATTTTCTCCCTAGGGAGTCAGATTTAGCTACTGGGAAATAGCACCTGGGTTCCAGTGCCCAACTGGAGCAACAAACTGGGGAGCTCTGGTCGCACTGGCTGTGTTGGGTATCTGTGCACACAGAAATGATACACACCTTGTTGAAAGGAAATGCTGATGGTAAAGCAATTTCTCCACAACTTCAGCTGTTCAAAAAGAGCCTTTGCTGCATCTTGGCCTCGAGCCTTTTACCCTTGCGAAGGTGTCGATGGGGTTGTTACCAGGGGTCAGCTCATCACTCCGTGAGTGACCTAAATTGGTGCCCAAACGCTGGAGTATTTGGTTCCCAGTGTGCAGTTGAGTAATTCTCCGTTTGTCTGTTTATTGGAGTGGGAAAAGAAGCCCTAATTGACCTTTCTTTCTGGAAGTTACGATTTTTTCCCACTTACAGTGGGTAAAATTAATGGTTAGCTCTTGCGGAACCTAAGTGTGGTATTACTTGACTTGTAGCATTGCAGAGCCTTTATTCTGTGCAAATCAAGGCTCGTTTGTCAGACACAGCTTTAGGGGAGATTTATTTTGTATTCAATGATGACAGAGTGGCCAAGGAATAAATACCTGTGTTTTTCTTTCCTTCTTTTTGTAAGATATAACAGTTACAAACGGAACAACAGAGCTGCTTCACACTGAGCACATCTGGTACCCCAGAATACGAGAGGTAATGTAGGAGTAGCCTTTCGCTGTTGATCTGTCTGATTCCAGTTAAGTTTCTCACCAAACCATCTCTGTTCTCCTCTTTAATTGGCAATTTCTTCTTCCGCTGTGATTTCATTTAAATATATCCCTTTCCTCATGTCATGGAAGTCTTCATCCTTTCAACTTGTTCATTGCTGGACAGCAAATACAAGGAGTTAGTTACCACGTTCCAAAAGATGCGCAGTAAAGTGCACAAGTGAGATGAATCCTCTTTTTTTTTTAATAACACTTTGCTATCTGTGCTCACCGGTAGCAGTTCAGCTGCTCCCATCCCGCTTGCCTGCTGGCGCTGCGTTCAGTAGGCTGTCCCCTGGAAGGTAAATTAGCAAATCTGCTCATCCCGAGGTAAAAAAAAACTTCCGATAAGATGTCAGTTCTCCCAAGAGGCTGAAAATCAGTTGCTGAAATAGCAGAGCCCTTCTCCACTCGCAGCACTGCAGTCTGAACTTCCCAGGATGAGGGTTGTGCCCAGGCGTCACACCGGAGTGGTAGATAGCGTAGTCCAAATTGGAGCGTGTGTCATGGAATTTATCTCCCATCCCGTTGCTTTGGGCTGCCAAACTTTTTCGTAATTAAAAACAACCCCTCTCTCTTCCCCATGTTCAAACCATAGCTACATCCTGCCAAGAGCCCTGCAGCCAAGAGGGCTGACAGTCTCCTGAGACCACAACGCTGCTCTATACCAGCTTCTAAGGAGCACTTGTGAACAGTGCAGCACACACTCTGCCCCTAGGAGCTAGGAGCATCACCTCCGTGACGCCACCAACCCTTGCCGGTTCGATCTGAGAGCTTAAAGGTTAGCCTGGAACCCAGGTCTCCTGTCTGACGGTGTGATGTGCGATCCACACAACTACCAGAACTGGCCCACTGGTCTGTTGTGTAATAGTTTTGTGGAGAAAACCATAAGTGTTATGCTTAAGCGATAAGTCACTTAAACATAATGAGCTGTTTTATGCCGAAAAATTTGCTGAGTTTCTTCTGTGTCACTGAATTCTTTTAACTGCAGTTTGTAACCCAGAGCAGAAAAAGCAATGTTTGGGGCTTGCTTTTAAAACTGAACCGCCTCTTTCCCATTCTTGTGTGTTCAGATCCAAGGTGCTATTATCATGTCCTCCTTGATAGAAGTGGTCATCGGTTTGCTTGGCCTTCCCGGCGCCCTGCTGCGCTACATTGGACCTCTGACCATCACGCCAACCGTCGCTCTCATCGGCCTCTCCGGTTTCCAAGCTGCTGGCGAAAGAGCGGGCAAACACTGGGGTATCGCGATGTTGTAAGTACTCCAGGGTGTTCTTGGCTTAGGCCATGGGGTCCCCGTTGTTGAGTCAGGAATTTTGGGGAGTCGGGGAAAAGCCAGAGTCTGTGTGGCTGCATTGAAGTGCTCCCAGCGTGGAGAAACACGGTGGGCAGGAGTGAGAGTGGGTCTGGAGGGGCTCAGCTGGCAATTTGGGAATAAGGACGGCAGCAACTCAAGAAGAGGAGGAAGGGAAGGACGATGGCTGAAGGTGAGGAGAACAGAGGATTTTATAAAGCAACAGTTGGAGCCCTTGACTGGGTCTAATTCAGTGCTATAGTAAAAGAGGATTTAGCAAAACACCAGAGAGATCGGTGACAATTTTTAGGATCCTTGTGATCCATTTTATGATCCAAATACCATTGGTGGTAGTGATCCCTTTGTCATGGTTATTTGGCTTATCTATAGCCAAGAGAAATTTGTAAGACGACAGAGCATATTTATTTCCATGAAGGCCATCAGTCGATGGGGCATAAGTAGACTTCTCTTTGGTGGATAAAAAGGCTTTTGGAGTGAATTTTGGGGAGCGATGTGTGCATTTCTGTAGGACAGATGCCGGGGAAATTAAAGAATTGAGAGAAGTCATGAAAGGGAATGACTGAGCGAAATGAGATGAAGCGGAGACAGAAGCTCCCTGTGCAATGCTGTGGATAACCAAGCAAATAAGGGTGGAAAGCACATTTTAGGGACAAGGAAATTTGGCTGAGCGCTGTATGTGATGTACAGCGACCAACTTATGGGGCTCTGGAAGCGGAAGGAGTGGCTGATGGGATCCGATGCTGCTCTGCCTAATCTGTTTGCACAGTGCTCTGAACACGTAAAGTATTCTGTAAGTGCAGCTTACGATCAAGAGGGCTCTTTAATTCTCTTTTATCTTGGCTGTTAGCATCACGAATATCTTTGTAATTCTGTTATGTTAAGCTGCTGACCTGAAGGAATGTTTTCTTTCCCTGTAAAACAAATTCTGTGCAAGTTGGGACCAATGCTCAATCAATCAATCAATCAAGCAGACCTTCGGTGAACTGGACATGGAAACGTGTAATTAAAGTTGGCATTTTGCAGATGGAAAAAGAGAAATCAATTTAGGATCAGGATTTAAGTTTTCTTTTCCTGTAAAACAAATTCTGTGCAAATTGGGACTAATGCTCAATCAATCAATCAATCAAGCAGACTGGACTGCAGTGAACTGGATGTGGAAACGTGTAATTAAAGTTGGCATTTTGCAGATGGAAAAAGAGAAATCAATTTAGGATCAGGATTTAAATATTGCCCGGTCAATAAGTGTTTCTGGCTTCTGCCACGCAAAAGTGTGCTCTAGGTCGTTGGAAATAACTCCAAAGCCATCTAGAGCCACTCCAAAATAACTTGATTTCTACAAGATGTGGCACTTGAAATTGTGTAAAAATACTGCATTGCTATCTAGCACAGAGGAAAATATCCGTGTGCGAGCTGTAATTCTCCGTTAGCTGCAGATGCTCTTTGACAACATTTCCAGTTTCCCAAAACACTTTTCTGACCTTGCCTGTTCTGCAGGTGCCAGGCTGAAGCAAAGGGAAATTATTCCTGAACTGATCTTTGCCTGTAGATGTGGTGAACAAAGCTGTTCCTTTGGGCATTTAAAGATTTGGTAATGCTGTACAGAATGGCTGCGAGCCCCCCTGCCGTGTAGCCAATATTATTTATAATACTCTATTATATCATATAATACTATATTATATTATCTAGTACTAGATAATATTATCTAGTACTATACAATCATATTATTTGTAATACTATACAATCAATATTTATAATACTATACAATAATATTTATACTATACAATCATATTATTTATAATACTATTTATGACACTTATTTATACTATTTCTAATAGACTAATACTACATTATGTCCACCTCTGCACTAAAGAAATCCAAATAAAAAGCCACCTGCCCTCAGGAGAGCCACTGTCAGGGCACAGAGCCCATTTTTCCATAATGGGCATTGGGAGAGATGCCAAAGTATTTCCTGAGTGCCAGGAAAAGGTGCCTTGATGATTCGGCTCTGGCCGGGGTGAGGGCTGGAACTGCACCCTTCTTGTGCAGGGCTCTTTGTTCCTGGAGATCGAGGGAGAATAAAGCTCGGGTTTGTTTCTTAGGGCCTGAACCTGATCTGGGTCAGAAAAGGGAGGGAAGCTTAAAATCCGCCCGTTTTCTATTTAAGTCAGCTGATAAAAACATCATCTCTGATTTCAGGAAAGCTTCGCTCTTTGTGTGGCCTTTTGATGGCAAAACTGGTTTGGACTATTGCAGAATTGAGCAACCTGCCCTGGCTTTTTATTTGTCGTTGCACTGGGTACTTATTTAGCTGTAGAGTTAAGTAATTTTTAACGTATTAGAGAAGCTTAGCAATTTCTACAAAGGGGGAAAATGCGAAATACTTGAGGCCCAAATGGAGTTTGAGTCAAAAGGAAACTCTTTGTAAAGGCTGGGGATCTTTCTCAAGCCTGATTCATTTTCCTGGTTTCATTTGCCTGCTTGCTGCTGGCTGTGATGGCAGCACTTTAAAACACAAATGAGGTTATTTTGGCTTTCGTGGAATAATAATTTCTTTAAGCAGTGTTCTCTTATGATGCTTTGTCTTGTGTTAAATTTAAAATGTGCATTCAAAGTCTGTGTCTGAAGAGCCTGAACAGGTTTGTGCTGAGGACCATTTGAACGTATTGGTGCTAATGATACGTCTCTCTCATCCCACCTTCCTCCTCCTTTTTCCTCAGGACTATTTTCCTGGTATTGCTGTTTTCTCAATATGCCAGGAATGTCAAATTTCCCTTGCCCATTTACAAATCGAAGAAAGGTTGGACAGCGTACAGGCTGCAGCTTTTCAAGATGTTCCCTGTAAGTTCTTGAACTTATTCTTCAGTTGGGAAAAAAACCCCATAATTTGTGTTTTTGGGGGGAGAGGTTCTTGGTTTTGGTTATTATTAATAATACAATAGATCACAAAGATGAGATAAAAGCCGAAATGGGTTTATGGGAAACTCAATTAAATGGCAAATTTGTCGTTTTGCCAGATCCTATGCTGATATTTGTCTTTGAAGAGTGGTTGCAGTGATGAAGATCATGAGGGGAGGGGAAGGGGGTAGAGAAGAAGGTGATGTTTATGCCTGCAGTGAAAGCCTAAACTCAGCCCTCCAAAAAGGGGCGGCGAGATCATTATCTTCGACTTTAATGAAAGCAATGCTGCATTCCCCCATGTGAAAGACTTCCTTTTATTTCTCCAGTAAAGTTGAGACCAATTCACCCATTTGTTTAAGTGCCCATTTGGAGACTTTCCCATTTGTTAGGGGAGAGAAGAGGCTTTAATTCGAAAGCTTTTGTAACTGCACCTTCGTTAGGGGCTGGGGGGGGGCACCCAACAGATCTATTACAGGATTTACTGCTTGTTCAGACTTAAAATATCACTTGTGATCACACTCAGATATGTGTGTAACAGATACTCAATGCAAGAGCAGTTTGATGAATATTGCCAATTACAGTTGATCTTAAACAGCTCTTTTTCTCCTCTTTCACAGATCATTTTAGCTATTTTGGTGTCCTGGTTGCTTTGCTTCATCTTCACCGTCACCGACGTCTTTCCCCCTGACAGTTCCAAGTACGGCTTCTACGCTCGCACGGACGCCCGGCGAGGAGTGCTCTTGGTAGCTCCGTGGTTCAAGGTCCCTTATCCTTGTAAGTATGTCTGCTTTTAAGGGCTGTTTTCCTAATAATATACCTGTGAGTGACATTTCTGTTGTTTTCAGAAGCATTCCTACTTTTTCTCTGATGCATTTCAATGTGCACTGACCTAAAGACATCGTAGGTGGGGATAGTGGGGTTTTTTTCCTTGTTTTTTCTGTTGAATTTGATACCGTGATGTCTCACTCAAGAAACAACAAGTCTCTGAAACCTGTATTTATAGGGTTTATCATGGTAACTCTTGACTTCTGATAGCATAGTGTGAGTGTATCTGTAATATGGATTTTCAGGGGATGGTTTGTTTACCTGTACTTGTCAGCACTCCGGTCAGCTGCTGTTAATGTATAATAACAGATGGGTTATTCCATCTCCTGTGGAGCTACAGAAGTCATTGATTTTCGCTGTCTAAACAATCAGAGTAGAGTTTTTTCCAGCTTCCCAGCCCCAAACACACCCATTCTCAGATTAGCACAGCTCTTAAAAACCACACGAAAATGTCCTGACTTGCAGAAAGCGGCACTGGAATGGGCCGATGGGCACGTTGGAGAATGCCAGTCAACGCTTATCACAGGACAAAAATCACTTACAAGAGAACATGAAATGCTTTGTATGGCATCTTAGATGTTTGTATTCTTTTGCTGGCCACCTCTTAAGTGTTTAAAGCTGTTAAAGGCCGTTTCTTGCAGCGTGAGGTAGAGTTGCGCAACTGGTTCACCCTTGCGCTGCTCCAAAATTAATGGGGGAATAACAGAATAATATTCTACTAAAATTAAAACTGTTAGGAGTAAGGTTACCTCGTAATGGGGCAGCTTCGTTGGAGTTTTCCGTGTGCTTTGGTCCTGATTGGATCTTAAAAGAAAAACCGCCTGTAAAGCAGCGTTTGGAGGATGGATAATAGGTTTTGGGGGAAAAAAAAGAGGAGGAAAACTTCCCCTTCATTCATATTTGTGTGACTTCAAGTTCCTTTTGTTGCGAGAGGCTCATCTATTTCGAAGAGATAAAAGCATCAAGGCAATTGCTGTGGAAAACCTGCCAAGCTTTGCTACAGGCTTAAATTAATCTTATTTTCTCTTCTGTAACAATTTGGAAGGCGTTTGTGCACTGATCATAGCTGGGTTTGGCCGTTCTCTTCACTGGACTAAATTTGTAACCAAAGACTGAGTTTTCAGAGCAATAATAATTAAGTGGCATTCACCTCACCGATCAGAATTGGGTTTTTCACCAGCAGTGGTTCAAATTCCTTCCTCCTGAGCAGGAGGAATTGTTTTGGTGGGGTTTAGGGGCTTTTTGGGTTTTTTCCCAGCGTGATCAAAGCAGTTGGTTGGGCACTTTTCCCTTTGCTCCTTTCATCTGCTCGAACTTGCCAGACTGCGTTACCGTGAGGGGAGTTTGTTGATTCCTTTCAAGAGGAGTAAATTGCCGTATGTTTTGATATCTACATTGTTTTCAGTGGCACAGGAGATTTCAGTTTTCTTTTCTTCACAGTTCAGTGGGGACTCCCGACCATTTCAGCCGCTGGAGTCATAGGAATGCTCAGCGCCGTCGTTGCCAGCATTATTGAATCCATAGGAGATTACTACGCCTGTGCCAGGTTGTCTTGCGCTCCTCCTCCACCTATTCATGCAATAAACAGGTTTGTAATAAAAAAGGGAATCTTTTCAGTGTCTTAAGCTACTTTTTAAACTTTGTTTTTGCCTTTTCCTTGGGATAAGACAAGAATGTGATCCAAATTTAAATGTTACAATTCAGTCAAACACAAGGTGCCAAGAATCTGAAACATAAGATGCAGCTTTCATGTTGAATTATTTTGTTGCAAGTGCAGCACTGGAAACCTGGTCCCATTCCTGTTGGAGTCTGTGGAAGTTACTGGTACAGTTTCTGTACTAAATCAGTGCTGGAATTGGGGTAGCTTATCAAATTCACCTGAAATGCAATTTTAGCAGTAAAGAGCAGCTCTAAGCTTGACTTGAATTGTTTTGTAATTTCCTCAGTTTAAGAACGTGGGTATCCAAGACATAGAAACCAGAAGTCAGGTTGGTTTCCAGGTGTGTTAGAGCTTGAAACATGAATTATCATAATTCATTATAATAATGTGGGACAGATGTCTTAACAGGCACTGACGGGAGACGCAGTCCTAAAGCACCATCTGAAGGGAGTCTGCGCTAACACAGGTTTGACTGCTTTGTCTTTTCTGTTTGTGATTTACAGAGGGATTTTCATTGAGGGTCTCTCCTGTGTTCTGGATGGAGTATTTGGGACAGGGAATGGCTCCACTTCTTCCAGCCCTAACATCGGTGTCTTGGGCATCACGAAGGTATGTGCTTTACTGGAGTATTTTATCTGCTCTGATGCGTGGCATGTGCCATTCTCATGTTTCACAGCGTGATCCTCTTCCAAAAAAATATCTTACTTAATACTTTGGGCAGACAAACTTTACACAGCGTTCTGAATTTAAACAATTTGTCTGTTGGCTGATGGAAAGGCATTCCAGATAAGGACCCCAGAAGTCTTATTTTTATTCAGAGTAAAGGGCAGTCAGAAAACCTCCATAAAGCACGTGGTGCTAAATAAACTACCGCTTTGAAAACTAAGAAGTTGAGCCATAAACACTGTAAACTGTATAGAAACTGATACTCTTTTGGATGTCTTGGCTCTGAAAGCATCACTGGAGAATTGACTGTTTCTAATGTCTCACTTGGACACGCACTGAAATGCAGCGTGAGGTCCTTGGCTCTTATTCACATCTGTGCTAGGACGTTACACTGACACAGCTACAACAGGAGCTGAAGTCAAGGTAAATTCAAAGTTAAATGTACCTGAAATATTTGTCATGATAGGTTTTTAAAGCACTGAGCATCCTATGGGGATTATATATTTTTGGGGGTGTTACTCAGCAAAATATCTTGAGGAACTTCCTTGTCCACGCATGGAGCTGGATGCGTGCTTGAATTCCTTGGTGAACTGGGAGACCTTGGACCGCAGATGGATGGGCTTGATGTTGTTAATTTAACCTTGTAAAGGAATACCAACAAAATTGGTGAGAGTAGTTTGTGCTGTAAATACGTACATCCTGTTGCGTGTTTTGCAATCCTGTGTAAGTCTCCTTGGTGCGTACCAGATACAAAATGTACGCTCTCCGCTCGCAATAACTCATCCCTCTGACTTAATCCGGCAGAGATGATGCATTTCTCTTCAGCCATTTTTTTTGTCTACAAAGGATGACTCTGTGCGGATGTAAAGTGAAATATCAATACTAACAGCACCATCTGCTGTCTGCACGAGTCTCCTGTTCAGTTGCCGATGGAAATTTCCTAGGAGAAATTTTAGTTAGAAAAAGCCTTCAAGAAAGCTTTCTTCTGTCCTGCTCCCTTTCTGTCGTTAATTCATAGGAGCTGCTGGGAATTAACAGCGCTTTTTTTATTAACAGGCCACAGAAATGAATGTAGGGTTTGCTTTGGAACAGCGAAAAATGAATGTTAAACGGCAGCTGTTGGAGAGAACAGAGGTGACCACAGTTAGGGAGGAGTGAATGTGCCTTATCCAGAGTGGCACAGCTGGGTGGCTGCGCTCCAGGGTTTTGTCTTGTTTTCCTGTCTGTGTTATTCATTCCTGAAAACCTCATCGTTTTTAACTTCAGTTTCTATCAAAATAGATTTTTGGCACATAGAGACACTGCTTTTTATTTGGGAGAGGAAATCTCAAAGCCCACATCGTCCTGGTTATCCTGTTAAACCAGTGCAACATTTGAAAAGGCTCCCTTGAAATCAGCAGATTTAGAATTTAAATTCGAGGCTTCATCTGGGTGTAAATACAGGAGAGTCTTTGAGCTGATTCTGTGAGCGAGAACCAATTAAATCAGATTAATTGAGGTAAGAGGAGAGGCAGCTTATGCCGTAATGATGGTGATGGAAATGGATGCTCCAGTAAGGTACTGGGTACCGTATCACACACTCCAAAATAATCCCATAAAGTGTGTGTTTGAGTGCCTGGGATAAACATTGGTGGTCATAGAGAAATTGCTGTATTTACCTTGAGCCTTTTCCTAGGTTTTTTGTATGATTTCCGTTGTTGTTCTAGCAAACACCCTCATTTACTGGTCCAGCTTCTGCTTGGGGGTGAACACATCTCACCCGACAGTTACACAGTGAAGAATATGGAGCAGAGAAATAACTTTGACCTTTAACATGCCAACTGTGCCTTTTTTCCCTCATTTCACTCATTTGGCTCAGTCACACATAATTAACCAGTTGATATCTACTCCTCTTTGAAGCTCCATGCTCTGTAGCAGGAAACCTGCAAAGGGCTTTGCTAGAAAAACCACCTTACAGCGTAACAGGTTGGGGTTTGTATCCCTGGTGCACTTTTTAATGCAAGTGTAACACTAAGAAAACATCAAAAGTTTAGGTTTTTAGCACAGAGAAACACTGCCCCAAAGTTTGAATGCTTAAAATAAAAACGAGAAGGAAGTGCAGCGCTTGGTTTCACAGCATTAGCGCAGCCATGATTTGCATACAAAGTGAGTTCAGTTCTGATCTCTTAAAGGAGTGATATAAAATCATTTACAACCTCTGTCTGGAAAGGCTGCATCTCCTTCAAGGGAGCTGCATGGTAGGTAACCAATGCATAAATTTTTGTATAAAAGAGCAGCACCACATGGGTTTTATTTGTGTTTATTAGCGCAGCCATGATTTGCATACAAAGTGAGTTCAGTTCTGATCTCTTAAAGGAGTGATATAAAATCATTTACAACCTCTGTCTGGAAAGGCTGCATCTCCTTCAAGGGAGCTGCATGGTAGGTAACCAATGCATAAATTTTTGTATAAAAGAGCAGCACCACATGGGTTTTATTTGTGTTTTCCTCTGTTTGTGGTAGGTAACCAATACATAAATTTTTGTATAAAGGAGCAGCACCACATGGGTTTTATTTGTGTTTTCCTCTGTTTGCATTACAGTTGATCCATTTGCCATCTCTCCTAGTTATGGCCTGTTTGTTTTCTTTATTGTAGATGGGACTGCGCCACATTTCATGGTTATTGTGGCTGTAGCAGTTACAGATGGTTTGAAAGATGACTTAATGTTAACGACAACAAAACCAAACGAAGTTACGTTGGGGTTGGAGCGCAGCCACGTTACAGCTGAGCCCTCCAAGACATTTGTGAAGGCTCTGCAGCCTGTTTTACGCCACGAAAAAATACGCAGGGAGGCTTGAAAAGACATTTCGAATGCTAAAATGAATGATTTGGGGGTTTGTTCCCCTGCAGGTCGGCAGCCGCAGGGTTATCCAGTACGGCGCAGCCTTCATGCTCCTCCTCGGGATGGTGGGGAAGTTCAGCGCTCTCTTTGCATCGCTGCCCGACCCCGTGCTCGGAGCCCTCTTCTGCACCCTCTTTGGTAACCAGTGGTTTTTTACTCCTATGTGTACGGTGTGGCTGTAGCTTTTTACTCTATCTTTACATATAAAAGTTATATATATAGTTATTGTCTTTTTTTTAAAGAAAAAGACTACATCAAAGCTGAGGCTTGCTCTGTTTTTGTTTAGGGATGATCACAGCCGTGGGTCTGTCTAACCTCCAGTTCATAGATCTGAATTCCTCTCGTAACCTGTTTGTACTTGGATTTTCCATTTTCTTTGGACTCGTCCTTCCAAGCTATCTCAAACAAAACCCACTGGTCACAGGTACGTGCTTCTGCTCTTTAACATAAAGCACACTTACACCTTGGACGTGCAAGTACACAGCGATGTGAAGGGTAAATAGGAGAAAAATCAAAGTATAATGGAGACAGTAAAAGCCATCGATAAGGAGGCAGGTGTGTTCAGAGGAGAATTAATGGAGGTTTTGAGACCTGAATTGCACATTTCAGTGGGATGCCTCTGCCCTGCTTTCTCTGGGTACGACTGTAGAGCAGTGGGAGGAGGCAATCGCCGGTTGGACTGGAAGAAAGACTGAATCTGAGTTACAAAAATAAGGGAAAACTCCAATAGAGAGCTTGGAAGCTAGGAATTTGTTTGGGATTTTAAAATTTTACATTTAAAATTAATTTCTTTTTCTCACTGTGGACATGTGGGCTGAATCTGAATTTGAATGGACTCAGTTTCAGACTGTTACCAGATATTAGTCTGGGGGAATTCATGGCTCTTCTCGGTGACGAACAATGATAGGACAAGGGGTAATGGACACAAACTGGAACACAGGAGGTTCCACTGAAATTGGAGAAGAAACTTCTTCTCAGTGAGGGTGACAGAGCCCTGGCCCAGGCTGCCCAGAGAGGTGGTGGAGTCTCCTTCTCTGCAGACATTCAAAACCCGCCTGGACGCCTTCCTGTGTAACCTCATCTGGGTGTTCCTGCTCCGGCAGGGGGATTGGACTGGATGAGCTTTGGAGGTCCCTTCCAATCCCTAACGGTCTGGGATTCTGTGATTCTGTGATGGAGAAGGTTTTCTATTCTAACAATTCTCAGTAGTGATCATGACAGCATTCGTCATCAGAGAAAGACTCCACAGGAATGCGTAACCTGTTCAGTTTGGTTTGGTTTTCAGAAGGAAACATTATTTAAGTTTTTATAGCTATCAGTTCGGAACCAGATTTAAGAGCATATCCAACCCACTCCGAGTTGTCATTATCAGATCAGTCATTCAAGCAGAGCTAATGATGAGATTTTAATACAACGTTCTTCCATGAACTGGTGTCAGTCAGTAGGATGTGTATATATGTGATAGGAATTCAAGTTCTCCTTTGTTTCCCTGTTCTAGGAATCGCAGGCATCGATCAAGTGTTAAACGTTCTCCTCACCACAGCCATGTTTGTCGGGGGCTGCGTGGCGTTTATTTTGGATAACACCATTCCAGGTCAGCTTGTAATTGTATCTGAATTAATAACTGCCTGTCTGAATGAAGATAGAGCAGCATTTTGTGGAGACAGGAGATGTGGAAAAAATTCCTGGGGTGGTTTTGACTTCTTTAGCACCTAGAGCAGGCTGCATAACACCTGCGTGCCTCAGTTTCCTTGAGAACACCTTGAATCTTTTTCAGGTTAAGGTGAAAGACCTAAAATAGCTGCTAAAACACAAACCAGACTAAGGATAGAGTGAAAAGATTTTGAGGTCCTTTTTTGAGGTCCCTTTGAATTTTCAGGTCCAAATGAATGAAGACCCATTCATTTAAGAGCAAAAATTTGCCTTGACTTCCAGTTACAGAATGAAACAGTTAATAGCCATTTCAAACAAACATTTTTCCCCCTTTTCCTGCCTATTTGAGGCTTTTAGAAGATCTTTCCAGTGCTTTACCAGACGCTGTGTCTGAGACTTGGGGTTTTCTTTCTGCTCTTAACCTTTGCTATATATGTATGTGTTTATATAAAGATATTTATGTATATATTTTGGTTTGGTTTCTAGGAAGCCCTGAAGAAAGGGGAATACGGAAGTGGAAGAAAGGGGTCGGTAAAGGAAGCAAGTCCCTGGATGGCATGGAGACGTATGATCTGCCTTTTGGCATGAACTTGATTAAGAAATACAGGTGTTTCAGCTTCCTGCCCATCAGCCCCACCTTCATGGGCTACACGTGGAAAGGCTTCAGGAAAAGCAGCAGCTGCAGGAGTTCAGATGAAGACTCGGAAGCTACAGTATAGCCTTAGCTGAAATTATATCCTCTAGTTGTAGTAAAAGATGTATTTGCAGTTTCTTGCTGATTTAAGAAGCATTAAAATATATGTTTTGTATATCTGCATTGAAATTCTGGAACCAGAGCTGAGACGGATTTTAAAAGAGGAAAAAAAAAAAACAAACGAAAAAAGCTTTCCTGTTGCGGGTGGTGGGAACCAGATTTCGTGTCTCTGGGGCGCGTTTCCAAATTTCTGCTGGATTTTTCAAGAGTTACACCTGTTATTATTATTAGAAATAACAGCTTCATTCGGTTCTGGAAGGTGCTATTAACAAAACGTTACTGTTTGGGGTGATTTTATTGAAGTCATCGATGTTGGCATTGCTGGCAGCGTTGGGTACGCCAGAAAATTTGAATCCTGTGAGATAAGGAGGGGAAAAATAAGGGAAGGTTTCCTTCTAGGTATTGTTTTTTACTCACTGATTTGCACATTCCATATTTTCAGCCCCAGGATTTCTTGATACTGGCAAATCATGAGAGTTTTTTTTTATTACTCTGTCCAAGGTTAGGACAGAAAGTTTCTGTAATAACAAAAACTGCGATCGCTCGGCGCTGCAGAAGGCACCGCTCATTTCACCTCATTTTTTTTAATGTTATTTTTCTGCCTGGCGTTTAACCACCCAACTCCAGTGTCCAGGTGCAGGTTTTCTTCAAAGGGACTCATGAACCTTGACTTTTCCCGAGATGGGAAACGTTTAACTCCCAGACAGCGCCCAGTAACGGTGCAGTGGCTGCATCCAGCAAGGCATCTCCTAAAACCTGCTGATTTTTGGAGCACTGGGAAGCAGTTAGCAGGTGTATACACAGGGAAAAGCAGAATTTTCTTGGTGGGGCTGCTGCAAAAGCTCGTTACTGCTGCGGAGACGATGCCGAAGGGCAGAGACGCGACATCTGATGTCCTCACCCGCGGGATGGTTTCACGGGTATTGGGGCCAATCGGGGCACCATTCAGATATCTCTTCTCTTTTTTTTTTCTCCTGGAATAGTCTCAGCTCTGACGTTAATGTGGGTGTTCACGCTCATCCCGCGTTCCTCATTAAAAGTTTGACCCACCTTTAAATGTTCTTACTATTGCAGTTAGTTTTAGACTTCGGTGTGGCCCCCAGAAGCTGTGGAGATCATCAGGGAAACGTCGTTGTCATGTCATTTCAAGGCCAGTATGCTCTACGGTGCTTGCGTTTTGTATTCCTGGACAAACACCCCTAAGGGTAGATCCTGTCATTCACTCTTCTATTTATCCACGTTTGACGACTGGACGGGAGCGCAGGAACTCTGTTTTCTCTACTTCCAGGTGAATTTGTTGTTGGTTTTTGAAGCATGGAAGGGTTTGGGGTGGGGAGGGCGAGGAAAGAGCTGAAGGGATCGGTGCTGAATAGTGTAGAGTGGGAAGGATTCCCTTTCAGCGTTCTCAGCATGCCGTGGCTCTTGCCAGAAACTATTTTATACCGCTTTTTTCCATAACAAAGCATGCGTTTGTTCCCGCTTCGGGGGAACTTTCAGTAGTTTGCAGTCTTGGTGTCCATTGGGCTATCTCGAAAGCTGGTGGGAAGAGTTATTGTGTGGTAGACAAGGTTAGTTTGCCTGTGAAACAAAGTCATTTTTCTCCCTTTTTTTATTGAAGTTTTCCGGTAGCGAGGTGTTAGATTTCCACACCCACTCGCGGGAGCGCAGAGACCTCGAATCAGCGCCACGAAGCGTCCAAATTTCCCATCTTTCTGTGCAACCAAAGACGTGGGGGAGTCAAATATATATATATATATATAAAAGGAAAATTAAAAAGGCCACCTGTGTACGGTGGTTGCAATGCTGAAATGGTGGTTACCTTGTAAATGTTGAGAAAGGGAGGCAAAAGTTTTGATTTAAAACGGTGCCACCTCGGAAATAGAGAAATGTGGAGTCCGGCGGTGGCAGTGGCGCCCGTGTCCCTGGGCTTGTCTGACTTCTCCCCCCAAATATTCTCTTGATAAAGTCAACACTTACAGCTCTGAGGCGATGAGAAACCACCTTGGTCTCTGCTCCCCTTTGGCTGAGGCAAAGCTCTGTTACCCACACGATTTGTTCAGTTCAGGCGAATTCCAGGGCAGCAAACCCGAGGATATTTTTAATTTCTCCCCCAGAAACCCCGCTCTTTCTTGCAGTGTAGGAGAGATTATCTGAATAGATGGAGCCTGATTACTCTGTTTAATTTGGATTTAATTCATTTCGTGACTTGGGGTCCTCCTGTGCCCATTCTGCCTGTGAGGACGGTTCTGCATAGCCAGCATTTTTGCCCTGCTAACACTAAAATAGGTATTTGTAGCCAAATTTGGGTGTATAATGACTCTCTCCATCCTTTTCCCAACACCAGTGGTTACAGAGGAGCCTGGGTTTGCCGAGGGGATTCGCTGAGGTACAGCGAGGGGTTGGGATGGACCCCGGCTCCCTGCAGGCCATGGGGGACCCCAAATCCTTCTGCTTTTTGCTTTTGGAGGGTGCTGAGCACCCCGGTCTGGGGGAACACGGTGCATTGTAATGTGGCACATCGAACTATTTCGGTTTTTCTGGTTAATCCAGGCTTGGCCGCGTTGCAGTGGCTGGGTGTAGAAATCTGACTCCTTGCCATGCTGTATTTTTCCTCCCTTACGTTCTTGCCTGCCTTGCAAAAACAGCTCAGTTAACACCACCACGTAGGGAAGGCGACACCCGAGAGGTGCGTTGAGAGGCGAGGAGATGTTTCAACCACAAGGTGAGACATCAGGGCAAGTACTCATGGTGGAAATCTCACTTTGTCACGTCAAAGATGGCATCAAACGTGTGCGAAACGAAACAGCTTGGGACTTCTGTAATCGATATTCTCTCGTACTTTGTGTGTTAGGTTAAATCAAGAATTCTTGCTGACACGTTGAAACACGTTTTCTAAAGCAAATACTCGCAAATTACGCCTGTAGAAATTGAGGTTTCATAGCTAGGAGCTGTGGCTGGATTCATGTTGTCAGATTGGAGTGCGTTGGCGGAGGAACTGAACCGGGTACCTCGCTCCGAAAGCTCAAACTTTTCAACCCAGAATTTGCTTTCTGCCTTTTTAATACTGACTTGAAATACGGCGACTTGGTTTGTGCATGAATATTGCAGTATTTTATTTCCATATATTGAAAATAACATTTCCGCTCAGGATAAACGGGCGCCGTTTTCCTGGGAGGGAGTGGTATGGATGTCATGACAATGTCATGTGATGGTAGAATTTCTTCATTGACGAACCTATAGTAGTTGTGTATACTTTATTTACCCATTTTTATGTTCCTACCAAGAAAAAAAAAACCAAAAGAGAAATAAAGCCTAAAGGGTTTCTTTTATCGTTCATCTCCCTACTGAGATCTCGGCATTTCCCATGCAGAGTTTGCAAACCGAAATCCTCGGTGCTTTTTATACCGTGACCCGGCACGCGTAACACTGCGTCCTTTGGAGGGGGAAAGAAAAGCATTGAAAATGGCTCTGTCTGTGCTATAAACGGCCCTCCGGACCCGCGTGGTTACAAACACCCACGGTTTGAGTGAGCCGCGGATGCGTCCACGCGACCTAAACCACCCCGTGCGTAACAGAATCTGTTGCTTCGCGTGGCCTTCGTGATCCAAAAGCGACTTTTTCCTTCCTTATTTTCCACTTGGAGAGGCGAGGGCGCAGCAGACGTCCCCCTCGGCGATGTTTCGGAGCGCTCTGGCGGCCGACGGGCGTTCGCTGCTCCCCCGTTTGACGGCCGCGAAGGCCGAGGCCGCGGCGTCGCCCGTGTTTTGTGTTTTGCCATCCCAAATATCCCCGTCCAGTTCCGATTCGGCTGTGAGCGTGCGTTGCCACCCGTGCGTATTGCTACGAGAGGTGTATTTCCAGTTGCCTTGTGTGCTCTGGCATCGACTACATCTTTCCAGGTAAATCATCTTTGCTGCCAGCCCAAATTGCTGTCTTTTGTGTTGAGAACAACCTGCGGCGTAACAAACTATTGACTGTTCTTAGGCAGTGGGGATAAAGATTCTTCTTTCCATGACTTTTTGTGACTGACTTTGGCTGTAAACCTTGTTATTTTTTCATTAAACAGCAAAAGGTTTTTAGTTTTGGGGTTGGGTTTTCTTTCTCTTTCCTGTTCCGAGATGTGTTAATTCTTTTATGGAGTCTGTTTGTTTGTTTGGGGTTGTTTTTTTTTTTAAATTTCATATGGTTTTTTTTTTCTAACATCGCTTCATTAAACAACAAATATTTAAAAAAATGTAATATTTGGACCAGATGTTGTGAATAATAGTAGATAAAGCTATTTTATTCTGTATTTTTAAAGCTGTTCAGTATAAATAAACGCGGGCATAGATGCACCTTGGCGGCCTGGTGTTACGCTTCCTTTTGAGCATCCCCTTGGACGAGGAGGAATCGACTTTTTGGGAAGACCAAGCATCTCCTTGTAGCAAGTACCACCCAAAATGCACCCCCAGCTGCTTTACCAGCTCTCACCTGAAGCTCGTACCACAAAAATACATTAAATTTCCTTAATCTACATGGAAATGGCCCCGCTCACCATCCGTGCCCCTTATTTGTCCCTGTCTCTGCTTTTGGTGGAGACCCTTCTGAAATCTCCCCCCAAGGAGCTGGGACCCGTCCCCCCTCAGCCCCTGCCCCTTTGCAGCTCCCTCGGGGCAGCAAAACCCCCTCTGAAACCATTTGTGTCACAGAAGTTGCCTAATTTCCTAACATAAAATATAATAATTCAAGTTTTCTTAGCTCTCTTAATTCTGATTCTCTAAATTCTCTATATTTCCACTGAGTTCTGAGTTATTTTGTCTAATTAAAGAATATGACCAACAGAGAAATCACCTCCAGTTTTGGCTGTAAAGCCGTAGGATTTGGGAATTTGCCCAGATTCTTGCCCTACCTTGGGCAATCTGTGCCCAAAGCGGTCGCGGGGCACAGGGTCCTGATGAATTCCCCGAGTATCTACGGCAATTAAAAAGAAATAAGGTGATTAACGCCTCGCCTCATCCCCAGCCATTTAACGAACTCGTTTGCTGTGTCTGGAGCTGTGATGGGAAATCCCTGGAGGTGGCCCAGGAATTGGGACCTGGAAATGCCTGGTAAGGA